TTCATCCCCCAGTATTGCATCATGCCGGAAAGCTGTCCCGGCGAGAATTGCCGGGACGCAAAGCGCCCTGGTCGACGAGATAACCATGTCGATGCCGACCGAGACCAACGACACGACCGGAAAGAGAAACCAAGGGGATGGGGCGATGTTGATCAGAGTCGACGCAGCATTAGCAAATCGAATTACCTCGGGCGTTCGCTGATATCGGCCACCCGGATGACGGACCTTACGTCAAGTTTGACGGCTTTATGCGAAAACAGGACGGATGGGTATACCAGCTTTGCCACCTCACAAAAGACACGGATTAGTCAGTAGCGCAATAATCGCTGAATTCATGGTCGCACGTGAGCTGGGCTCCAGCCGGACATGTGGTGGACTAGTACTAGGTACCGGCGGCACAAGAACCGAAGGATGGTTGGCCGTTCGAATTGCTGAATTTAAATTGAACTCTGAGTTGCTAAGTTTACGGCTCGATTTGGCGACCGGATGGACGGTGTTTGTGCTGGCCTGTGCAGGCGACATGAGGGTTCAGTCGCCCGGACACGCATTTTCCGTAAACTTGACACCATTCGGCCCTGCGTTTGCATCCCCGACACAATATGGACAGCCACAACTGAGCCCGCCGCGGACAGGGAGGCATGATAGAGACACTGGAGGAAACGGCGGGAACTGCGGCTGAAGGCCGGATATGGGAGGAAATTCAACCACCAGCGAGGTGGGGCCGCGGCAGTTTTGGCGGTGGTTAGCTCGGCCAGAACTTAACCCACCAAGGGGAATGGAATAAAGCCGGCCAGAACTTCGAAAATTCAGTGGGCACGAATCGGCCTGGCCCGGCACGACGCTGGGGGACGGAGATAACGCTGGGGGACGGAACGGGTACAATGAGCATGGAACGAAACATGAAAGGCGAACGCAAACTTGAGCGATCACCTGCTGCTGCTAGATGCCGGGAACCATGCTACGGCAATGTGTGGATTCGCGGCCGGCGACTGGAACCAGAACCCGTGCCAACGCTGGCACCAGGACTGGCACCGTCGCTAGAACGCCGGATTACCCGTCAAGGCGGCGAATCCTAACCGTCCCGGCTAGGCGCTTCCACCTGGAACATAGGATATCGGGTGGCCAGACAACTGGCAACGGGGTTCTTAATTTCCAGGGCAGTCGGAGGCAGAGTGCGCCATGAACGGAAGCCGCCCTGGGCGGCAACTGGAATAGCCGTGGTGGTTGCTTTGGGGATCCTGGCAAGACAATCAGAGAATGCCGCAAATGCGCTAGCTACTGCCGTCTTTGGCTCAGTATCCGCCGCGATTAGTGCAGCCGGGACGCACGGGTGCCCTTGTTTATTAACAGCAGCAGCAGCCGATACTGCAGCCTGGAAAATCAAGCGCTCCCGTATACTGGGCAAGTTTACCAGCCTGCCGGGATGGAGAAACTGACCTCGCGGTAAACTGCCGACCCGAATTGCCGTGGTGACGAGTGACTTAATTCCATCGGAACCAACCGCCGGTACGTTTGGTGTACGGCGCAAGCCGTAATGGGCCCAACTCGCCTCGAACGACCAGCATCGACTGCTGCAAAGGTCGCATTGGATAGCACGGGTGAGCAGCATACTTATCCGACCGAACTGAGATTCCCGACCGTTTTAATTTGGACGCTGCAGACCAGTTGTTGGTTTGTGTCCGAGCTTGCAAAGCGGCGGAGGAGGATCAATGGCGAGACCCGCGATCGATATTGACGATGACCATGTGACCGATAGAAGAAACTCGCATTAATCGAATAGCGGCAACGCCAGCCGGATCGGCAGGTTCAATGGATCACCGCTAGCGTGTGACGATCCCGGCCAATGTGTCGTTGTTACTGTTGAACACGCTTATGCGTTCGGTGTCTATATCAGCCCGATCGAGCAGCGTCGACCGGTTAGAGTGCCCGCTTGGACACACGAAATTGTGATCGGAACGACACCGACAGTGGCGACGCTGGATACTGGAGCCTTGACCTCGCTCAGCCCAAAGAAAAGAAGTTTGGTGAGAAGAACAACTTAAAAATGGAACCGCTCGGATACTGCAGGAAGATCGTCGGCGTGTCGTGCTTCGGCTGTGCCGTTCCCGGCTGTGCCGTTCCCGGCTGTGCCGTTCCCGGCTGTGCCGTTCCCGGCTGTGCCGTTCCCGGCTGTGCCGTTCCCGGCTGTGCCGTTCCCGGCTGTGCCGTTCCCGGCTGTGCCGTTCCCGGCTGTGCCGTTCCCGGCTGTGCCGTTCCCGGCTGTGCCGTTCCCGGCTGTGCCGTTCCCGGCTGTGCCGTTCCCGGCTGTGCCGTTCCCGGCTGTGCCGTTCCCGGCTGTGCCGTTCCCGGCTGTGCCGTTCCCGGCTGTGCCGTTCCCGGCTGTGCCGTTCCCGGCTGTGCCGTTCCCGGCTGTGCCGTTCCCGGCTGTGCCGTTCCCGGCTGTGCCGTTCCCGGCTGTGCCGTTCCCGGCTGTGCCGTTCCCGGCTGTGCCGTTCCCGGCTGTGCCGTTCCCGGCTGTGCCGTTCCCGAATTCATTATCGGTGTATCTAAAAACCTGGACAGCACCCCCCACCAAAACCCTGTCAAAATCGCGGTTTTCCCGACAAGAACCACGAGATTACCGGTTAAACAGGGTAATCTCGATAACTAGATTATCAGGGAAGAGTGACTCAACAGCGATCAAAACAACCCGGTTTGGAACCTCACAGTCGGCGCGAAGCCGAAATCGACGGCATAGGCCGCCGACGGCAAAAAATCCGCAAACATTCCGGATTTTCGAGCCGTCGGGACCCCGGAGCGGGAGGACACCATCGCCAGTAGATTAGTTTGACACCACTATGCCACCCAGTCAAATAACAGCGCGTCCTCTTGGTTTCCCAGGACTTCGAAGCCTGCGTCGGAGACCCAGACATCATACGGACTCCGAGCTTACCACTAGCTTACTGAGGGTACCACAGGCGAACCGTGATGTGACCGATGTCAATAAGAGACAAAGCTAACAGCAAACCGGTAAACAGACATGACGACAGCCTACTAAGAACTAAGACGAACCTCATCGAATTTTTGTTATGTCAATTTAACGCATCCCCAGATGGGGACGTAGTGAACTTAATTCGCCGCAGATCGCATCCAACCACAACCTACTACCTAACCCAAACGACCCCGGCACATACGAATTTTATACCTGTCACCCTACGAAACGTCACCGCAGTTTCCGCCGAACGAGATAATTGAACAAAACTGCCTAGTTCTCACAGTGACCACAAATCCGGCTTAGAGGTATACAGGTAGATGTATTACCTGGACATTCCTTGACTGATGGTCGAACGAGAATTATTTTTCCGGACCGGGATTACTCCGGAAGAGATACCTCCTTATTTGTCCCGGCAGAACGACAGTTTTCATCTTCCATCACCAAGGAGGATGTTCATAACAGAGAAACGATATAGTCGACTCGTAAGGATCGGATTAGACTAACCATACGTAGCATACTAGCTGTTAACGGGACCTTGACCCAATATGCTTCGGTCACACTGACCGTTATAGAAACGGTATTCGTACGGTACGAGCGAAGAACCCCGGAAGGTAGAGCTTGGACCTGACACAAGCCAAAAAGCCCCGGAAGAATCGACCTAGACTTGGATCAACCGAGAATACCCCATATAGGTCCAGGAAGCCAGTGATTTTAAGTAATCACGATTTCTTACCGGACTGGATATGTAGCCTGAGATGCCGGCTGTTATTGGGATCCTCACGCGGAGTAACCTGGTGGTCGGAGGTGAACCTACGGGCTTTGCTCGGATGAAGCCTTAAAATACAGCGCTGCAACAATCAGGCTCGGTGCAGATCGCTCCAGATGGGCAGTTTCGTGCTGCCTGTTTGCTTCAGTTTATTGATTTCACAGTAAAGCTGTTTGCAATCGCTAACGTCTATGTTGTGTTGCTGATTACAGTACTGAAAACTGGTCTAAAACCTTCGATGCATGCTTGCTTTGAAAATAAATGTTAATTCGACTAACAGTGACACATTTTGAGTTGGAGTGTCTACTGAGTAGTTGCTCTGTAACGCTCTGTAAGACGCTCTGTAACATTCTGTTTTAAGTAAGTAACGCTGTTTTGCAGAACATCCGGCACTTTACCGTATAGAGCGAATTGAAAGTGCGCGGCAACTAATGAGACAGGCTGCAATAATGGTGTGGCAAAATAGCCAACTGACTATTTTGCCAACCATAGTGCGGCAAAATAGCTGAGCAGCTATTTTAACGCAGTGTGCGGTAAAATAGCCAACAAACTATTTCGCCCACCCTAGTGCGGCAAAATAGCCGAACGGCTATTTAGCCGCAAACACTGCGGCAAAATAGCCACTTCGCAATGTATCGGTAAACAGGAAAAAACCTATAGGGCATGGGTGTATACAGGCCCGTAGCGAGGTCGGAAGGATGGGGGTTGCGCAAATTGGCTGCGCCAGTTGCGCCCTTTTTAAATTCGGTCTGCGCCCACTGCGCCCGTATATTTAAGAGTCTGCGCCCCTTGCGCCCCGCATTTCCCTTGGACTTCGCTACGGCCCTGCTCCCGTTGCACAGCCGAAGGTCAAAGTCTGTGTGCAAGATTCCGAAATTTACAAAACATTTTATACAAATTTAACGCGGCACCGCCCTTGCGCCACGGGCGCACTCGTTTCGGCGCCCGCTGCGCCCTTAAAAAATCCCTTCAATTTTGTGCCCGCGCGCACGTGCGCCAGATTCGGGCGCAAACTAAATTCAGAAGTTAGCCGAGGAGGGGGTCCGTGCGCACCCCCCCCCCTCGCTGCGGCCCTGGGTGTATATATCACTTATCAGTTATCACTTTGGAAATGGGTGTATAATGTACATGTCGGATACAATCGTACATACAGCAGTGAAGCAGAAGAGGTTTCAAGTATTTTTAAAAATGATCTGCTGTCTTTATGTAATCACTGTAGTCTATAGTGTATTCTGGATTAATCTGCCAGATTGCTGATAGGTCGACTGTTGGGTATGGAGACATCTCACCGAAATCAACGCTTGTTCAAATGCTTTGCATCATGTTTATAGTGGAGCACTGGTAAATGATTTGCTAAAACTTTACAGTGGGTTCTCAAAATGAAATTACACATAAAAACTATAACAATGGTCCTTCTGCACAGCACATGATTTTTTTTGGTTTACGCAACTATACATAAAATCAATGTTATTTACGGAAATCGTTTCAACGGTCGTATTGTTAAACTGCAGGCGTCATTTGCTTCTTCTATACCAGAAATTCACAAAATCATCAGCAATTTGCAAAAGTTTACGAAACCATACCTACCGGCGCGGGGCACGCAGCACATAATTGTTTCCGGCAACATTACCATCGAAACCATGCGGTCCTTAGTCAATGACCTTAGTCGGCCAGACCGACGTCAAAGGAAACTGGATAGAAGTATAGTCTTCGTTATGTAATTCTGGATAACTATTGTACCTTAACAGAGAATAACCGGATATCGAAATGAAAATTTCTTAAGGAAGTGCAGACATATAATGTGCGCTACGTGGAAGGCAGTCTCCTGCTTGCAGAATACGAAGGTCCACGAGGCCGAAGCATACCTCCATTTAGTCCATTAGGCATTAGCCAATCGACGATCGGATGATCCGGAAAAGATGATTCTACGACCTTACTCACAAACCAAGGATGATTCAGGGTCATTTCTCGACGCTGTTTTGCAACCAATTATCCCCTTTATTCCCTTGGGAGCAGCATTTTTGCTGCTTTATATTCTCTATACTGGATTATTCTGGATTATTCTATACTGGATTATCTCCTGGTTACAATAAATGCGTTCCCGAAAACAGACTGCAACGAGTCTTTGATAACTGTTATAACTGTCAATTCAAATATTTCCAAATAAAATTTATGGATTTTGTGAAACATATGGGATGGTTTTGTCATTACGGGAAACCATTTACAGTTTTACACAACTTATCTGTACGTGTGATTCATGACATTTAAGTGTTTATGTGTCGGTAAGCCAAAATATGAAAGGAAAGAAACAATTATATATGCATAAATAATTTAATTTTTTACTAAAAAAATATTATGACCTACTGTACCTATTAACGAAAGCTAAGCACGAGGTATAATACAACTTTCCAAAGCACCTTACATGGCAACAATGAGTGCGCCATATAACTAGCTACAGAAGTATAGAATTATCTGTAAAGTACTATACGGTCTCTACAAAGAATAAGTGCATTGGTTATTATTATGTTACACTAAAATCTTCAAAATTAATACTGTCCAATAACATTGTTGCTATCAAAGAGGTATCTACAATACAATATTATACCAATTGCGCACAGGCGCATCACGGACATACTTACATCGATTTTCACGGTGCACAGACATACAAAGATGGCAAAAACCGCGCCCGTTTGCACGTCTTGCATGTATGTATGTGCGGGCCAAACCCGACCGCGTGCGCACAACAGCCGTGACGCACAGACTTCAATACAAAATTACAAACCTCCGCTGCCTTGTGGTTTCTAAGTTCTGCCAGAGTATTTTGCCGTAAATAATGATGCAAACGTCTGATGAGCAGGAAAAAAGGGGTTGCAGTATCGATAATTTGATAATTTTATAACAATTCAAAAGTGAACGACGTTCTACAATAACTATAAGCAGACCTAAAAATACCTCTGGTAGCCAGATCAAGCGGGAACCCGCTACGCTGCCACACTTTCAAACACGAGTAACTGTTGTGGTAGAAAATACAGAACGAAAATCACATCACCTCAGACTCCAAAATTTAAGATTTAAAAATTTAATCATCTGCTTACCGTACAGGGCTGTCCAGCGATGTCACTGGCATTCGAGTATCTAGCCAGATTAAGCAGTGGAAATCAGAAATTGCAGAGCGCACTAAGGCCTCGTCCCGAATTCAAAGCGAATCTCGTTGCGATACAGCAACTCCACCTCGCGAGGTGGCTTCGCGTACCGTATCTGTAGGCGTGGCCACTGCATACAGCCACCTCGTGCGGTTTATCAGCCAACGACACAGTTCCCGATCGTCCGGTAATGGTCATCGCGGTGCCGCAAAACTCAGTTGTTAACGTAACGTTCGAGCACAGCTCCTCCATTCCCGCCGCTCCGTTTGCCTTTCACAGTGATCCCATTAACACCACCGCCATGCCCTTTCTCAGCAATACCTCCATGGGAACTACTGTGATACTGAACTCCACCTTGTTTACTTTCGCTCCAAACAATGTGACCTTTGCTCCGGTAGTGGTCAACTTCACCGCTGACACCACCACTACTAGTAAACCGGCTGTCGATATCGCCAGAGTACCGACTGCGGTTGCCGGGTATGAGGATGCGTTTTTGTTGCCGCTGGGTTCGGAAGGTCCGAATGCATTCCGCGACGGGCCTATCAATGCACAGCTGCCGGCCGGGACGATTCTGGATCCGGCTGTCACTTCCATACCGGCGGTGGAGAGTGACCCCAGTAAAGTCTTCATCTCACGAAACTGGAGGATTGAGATAAAATTCGGGGATTTCCAGATGCAGTGTCTTGATAATGCATCGGCAATTATCGATCAACCGCTTGCAATCTCTGTCAAATACATTGTGTAAGCAATTTACATCTATCACTATTATCCGAGTAAGCCAATCGTAGTAATTATGGCATATCGTGGTTATATAACGCACTGTACCGTAATTTGGTGTTGTGTTAAGCTGATGACCGACAATACGACAATTTCTATTGCTGATTATACGACAATTATACGACAATTTACGACATTATACGACAATTTCTATTGTGATTCTGATCTCTGTAGCATTTAACTTTAGTATTCGTCGAAGTTAAACACAGTAGTACTGTATGGTTCAGTGTCAATTACTTAATTGTTCACTATGAATTCAGCGGATCACCACCTCCAGTAATTGCTCCCAACGAAGAAGCGGTACTTGCTCAAGGAGATATGCCCTGTTTCCAGTAAGGCGGCTCTTTAGACTGGCTTAAAATTATTTAAAATGTTTTCATTTTAATTTAGCATAATTAAATATGTTCGCTACCATACACATGCGAAATAAAAAAGTATTCGTGGCCCTATCAAAAGATATATGTAAAATTTCGGATATTACTCTAGTAATAAAAATTTGTATTACAGTAACTCCATAACTGTAATTATTTATTACTTACAACTTTGTGTTGTAGGTGTGCCTATGAATAATAATACATTTGCCGGACAAGCCGTGATCCACCATAACATGACCCTTCTGCCAGAAAATCTTTCAGGATTCCAGCAGATTTACAATGGAACGTACGACAGCACGGCAAATAATAATAAAATTTCAATCCAAAAGATTGTCACTGCAGAACTATGTGGAAAAACCACAGATGTAAGTACAAATAGTAATCGTTCGAGTATACGTAGAAAACCACCAAACGATAACAAAAATTCGAGATGTTTTGCATTAGTTCCAGCAGGGATACATTGAAGTGTCGATAAAGCCGACAATGGCTATGTCAGGTATGGCAAAAACTACAAGAAGTGCTTTTAAAATGTTCTAAACGGCACATGATACTTTTATTGATTCTAGACATTTTATAGTGTGCGGGAATTACAAAACACTTTAAATAAATGCATAATGCGTTGACTTTACCGATTTAAGAGAATGATAAAATTTAAACACGGCGATAAATCGAAAAAGCCAAATATGAAGTAAATTCGAGCAAAAATGATAAAAAAAATCTTATTTGTTTTTTATTTAATGCCATTTTGACGATTTGCATTGCATGCATGCAGATCATGGAGCACCGGAAGGTTACTACAAGTGCTTTGTTATTGTGAATTATGCTCCCGCCGCTCGCGAATCAGAATCATTCTGGTCGCTGAAAGATGACTGTGAATCGTTTGTCCAATCTAACCATTTCAAATATAAGTAAGGACGAAAACATTTCTGTCATTTTTCGACACTAAGCCAGGAATCGTGATGACGTCAAAGCGGTAATTTTTTGCAGCTTGTGGTTCCAGACCAGACAGTACTTCATTGACACTGCTGCCTGCCAAGCCCGCCAAGCCCGTCCCATGCTCAATGAGCATCATTAAGCCACTGTAAAATAACCTTGCGGTTTTATTCCTTCGATTTCCGGTTCCCAGCGTCAACGCCTATCTATACATCGAAAATTAACAAATTTTGTGTTTCCAATGCTGTTCATCTTAATCGTTGTCTGCGTTTTTAGCAGATTTTTGCATTACTTAGCAGTAATGACAGATAACAATATGTTTGCGGACCTTGCTTTTAAAAACGTGCAAATTTTCAATCGATCAATAATACCTCCGTCGTTGAAATACAGTTAATACTAGTAATGGTTTGTGATACTATCGATGCCGCTAATTTTTAGGTTTATTTATTGCCTAATTTATACCATTGTATATTAATTTTACTTATCATAAGGTGAAGGTCAATGGTGATGTCAGTGTACATATGAATAATAAGCGAAATTCTGTAAAATGGTCGAAAACCAATGTATTTTTTGTTTTTATTCCCGCAACTGCAAATAAAGGAATGTCTTTTACAGTTGCGTAAGAAAACTATGTTACCGTATTGCAACACCGTTTTTGTAAATTCTGAAAATTTGTATGGGATCCCGACCCTTGCAGCAGTGTATAGCTGTTACTAAACTCCATATTCCGTGCATTTTCTTCTAGCTCATGCTTCCGTCGGTCGATGATTTTTCGCATGAGCTCTACGAACGCTCTCTCAATCTGCGTATTACTCTGCGCTGAAATCTCCCACAGAACCAACCCATGCTTTTTAGCAAAGTCCATTCCCGCTTCCCGCGGGACCTTACGCTCCTCCTCCCGATCACACTTATTGGCCAGGAGAATAATCTCCACATTGGCTTGACCTTTCTGCCGGATCTCGTGCATCCATTTGTCGCAGTTGCGAAAACTCCGCTCATTCGTGATATCATAGACTAAAAAGAATCCGTGCGCCCGGTTGAAGTACTGCGTCGTAATCGACTGAAAACGCTCCTGCCCGGCCGTATCCCAAATCTGCAGACGCACTTGCGTACTATCGACCACCATCCGGCGGATCTTAAAGTCCAGCCCCACGGTGGCGTTTTCCTGGTAGGTAAAGGCGTCTTCTACAATGCGCCGGACAATACTGGTCTTTCCCACCGCGGTGTCGCCGACCATCATGATCTTCATGTGGATTTCGTCCGTGGGCAGGGCATAGTTGGCCGCCAAACCAATGAGCGACGAGGAACGCAGCGACGTGGAGATATTGGCAGGGGTCACGGTTCCCGGGGTGGAGACGGCGCGCCCCATGTCTTTACTGCCGGGAAGGGAGTTTCTTGGCAGCGTGGAAGAGGTTTTGTGTTCATCGTGCACAGGCGGACGACTGGAACCCCGTCCCGAGGGGCGCTCACCGCCCGCACGGGAGTGGTCACCGCGCGCATGGGTACTGCTGTGAAGGACACTGGCCGATGCATAGGGCTGCTGGAGGGCGGCGTTCATACGACATCCTCCCGCTCCAGGTCCCGACATTATGAAAGATATAGTGGGAGCAAAACCGATGCATTAAGATTCCACACCGCGGTACAGTATGCGCAGAGCAAAGTCTATCTTGGGAAAAGCGGTTCGTGTGCTGGGCTCATGTTATCTTTGTAACGCTAAAGGTTCCTTGGTTTATTAAGTAGATAATTGATAATATAGCCATTTAACAGGAATCCAGGTATAATCCCTGGTCTCGTTCATGGTATATAGATATGAAAAGAAAATTTAATGTAAACGTCGTTAATTCACTGATTGTGAGCATTGCCACTCAATGTACAGTCGCACAGCGCTAGCCTTTCCAAAAATCTTTACCACAATACGTACTTTGGTGAATGTTTTGAATGTTTGCTGCAAGTGAATTCTGATAATCTCACCTATTATTAATTACAGTAGCTTTACTAGTAATTTGAGGGAAAAATGCTTATCATTAAACATTTTTTGATGTTCGCAATACACTAAATGTAGGTACACGAGCTGCAATGTACTTATGTTACGTTGTAAACTCTGCATGCAGGTAAGTCTAAATACAGGCAAATATAGTATAAATACGAGTAAGTACTGCAGTACTTAATTACTTAAGTACCTAATTTTCTTACTTCAAGCATGAAATTATAACAAGGTAGCCTCGCGCATCCGCGCTCGGCACTTAAGTACTGGATAGCATTGGCTTTGTTTTGGAAAGGTCATTATAAATAGAAGTCACGTTTGGATTTTCTAACGTTCTGAGTCTTCTGACACTTCTGACCTTCTGACGTTCTTAACTTCTGACGTTCTTACTTTCTGACGTTTTTTCACTTTTCACAATCTGTCACCCTGATGTTCTGACGTTCTAACGTGCTGTTATTCTGACGTTCTGAATTTCAGACATTTTGACGTTTTTAATTTTTCACGTTCTCACGTTCTGACCTTTTGACGTTTTATCTTTCACATTCTGACATTCTGCTGTTCTGACGTTCTAACGTTCTGACGTTCTGATATTCTGGCGTTCTGAACTTCTGACGTTCTGACGTTTTTAGTTTTTTACGTTCTGACCTTCTGGCGTTCTAATGTTCTGACGTTCTAACGTTCTGATATTGTGATATTCAGACGTTCTGAATTTCTGACGTTTTTGATTTTTCACGTTCAGACGTTATTAATTTTCACGTTCGGATTACCTGACGTTCTGTCTTTTGGCGTCCTGACTTCTGATGTTTTTACGTTCTGACGTATAGATACTGTGTAGGCGGCATACTGGGCAATGTACTTTACCTTTTATGGAGGTTTACGTAATTTGCTGCTCACATAACAATTTTTCATCTACAATCTACCTTAAAAAAGAAGTATTTATGTATCCGTTATAGTCTCCGTGGTTACAGTCAATATTGTGTTATGGGCTTTTCATAACTGTGCAGTGAATACCGTACTTACTTCTTCGAGTGCTCTTTACGTTTCCTATACTTAAGACCTGGTGAAACCATCTTCTGACCACTGGGTAATAAAAACAAACAAAAATCTATTGGCACACCTATGGAAAATATGGAATTTTTTAAGACCAAGCTGGACTTAAACTGACCACGCGTTGACGAGCCTATTAAAACGGCGCATAAATACGCTTTGGTCGGTAAGCTTGTATGAATATAAAGATATAAAGATAAAGATAATATTATTGCTTATCTTGTCAGACTTTATTATTTTGTTGTTTATCATAATAGTTTTAGCTAAAGCGTGGTGTTTACAAAATTGTCGTACCAGTGCAAAAAAGGTTTACAACGTTGTACTCATATAGATATTGCAGACCGAAGTATATAAAAAAAGAAAGGGCCACTAGTACCTTATAATTAGTCACAAATCTGCGATGTCACCCACAAAAATTCTCTACCAGATTATGTGTTTCGGAAAAATAAATTATTGTTTTCAGTTTAGAGTATCTAGACAGCATGTACCTGGACATCTACAAGTTAAAAAATGCACATAAGAGCCTGTAAACATTTACAAGTGTAAACAGTACTTACAAGTGACGGTCGCGCTAGCGACCAATTGTGTTTTTTAGCCTTTTAGGTAGGGAATTAGGACTAAAAGAAGATTAAGAGTGTAAATAAATGATTGCATTTGAACTTGGTAAACGGTTAGGTATCTGTTGCTAGGAAGAACTTGTAATCGAGCAACCGCAAGAATCACTCTGATGTCTTAAAACGTTCAGATGCCTGTAAACGCCCTGAACTCAGGCAGTGCGGATAGAAAACGTTGGGCTGATGATGACCACCCGGCAAGTGAGTACCGAAGCTTTGCGAAGAGTTAATTAATTTTGAAGTCACCTTCATTTTGTTTCCGACTTTCGGTAATTGTTTTACGAACAGTAAACAACCGAACGAGAACTGCAAAAAGATCGGGAAAATTTGCCATACGAGTGTAATTAATTCTGCAAACATGGCAGGTATTATTTACCATCGGCATCAAGCTCTATATGGTAAACCACCGTTATTTGATTCGATAATACAGACATTCCATAATACCGTGAAAACCACAAAAGCCAAATAAACAAATACCGCAATCCACCAGGCTATACTCCACGATAACTTCTGATCAAAATGCTTTAATACAATCAGTCCCATGCAAATTCCCGACAGCGTGCCCATAATATGGGCAATATAGGAGATGGGCATGGGTTTCGGCTCGGCGGCATAGCGGTCCCAAATAGCCACACCCAACACGCAACTGGCCACCAGCAGCACGCCGATCATGCGCAACAGCGGCAGTTCCATTTGTGTGCAATTCTAAAATATAAAAGCATGTCAATGGGAACAAATGGCTTTATTAGCCTATGGTCAACAGGAAGTCAGAGAGAAATACAAGTCGAATTTTACCAGGAGTATGTTGGCCAGGTGGGCGGATAACAGGGCGTAAACACCTCCCGAGGCGCCGACCAGGTAAACATCCGGATCAAATACCGATGTGCCCAGTGATCCTGCAGATTATTCACACGTAAATCACACTATCATCTCAAATTATAATTAATTTTAATATTATATCGGGACAGTTAATGCAAGACTTGCAAGCGAGCCACGAACTGATACTATCCAGCTAATAAACTGTATGTCTCTATCTAAATTTTCCTGGACAGTGTATTTTCAATAGTATTCAAAATATTGAATAAAGTATACAGTTTTCTAAGAGTATAGTTTGCGAATACTATATAACATTATTCACAAGCTGTACGAGATACAACATAGACGCAGAAATAAAATGCACGCTGACCTGCTAAAACACCGGAAAGATATATTATGCCGATGCGAAAATTTCCGTGGACCATTTCCAGTGGAAGTCCCACAAAAATTTGGATAATAATATTGAAAACTAAATGAAACCACCTGTAAGAAAAACATCGTAAGTCAAATAAATGAATTGAAAAACCATAATAATCTGTCTGAATGTATATGATGTATTCGTATATAATGTGTATTGTGCACTATTGTCAAAACGATTAGCATAATAATAAGAAGGTCATACCGGCATGCAAAAAGAAATAATATTATTACCTAAAATAACAATAAGTTTGTGAATTATGCATTATACGCAAAGATAATTTTACTGTATTATACAGCTGCTACCAAATTATTTACTAAGCATTTTTGCAGAACTTCCCACATGTGAGAGTTATCTTTAATTTTCCCAAATGTGAGAATCTGTATGTGAATACTGGCGGCTAATGCATTTGATGCGTCGGTCACTCAAAATTTCTCCATAAAAGTTAAAAATTATGCTGTTTGTTCGCTATGCGCACACAGCTCGTACCCGGCATGCAGAAAGGAATATGTAATGGATCGCCAGATTTCCAGTCGCCGGTCAGGACGATAAATAAACGGGCTATCGATGGGAACAGGCCCAATTGTCGACACGCTTCCCATCACAATTCCATAGTAGATAAATACGGCAAGCTGGAAAGAAAATAGTTGATTACTTAACTTACAGGGCAATTTATCGGCGAAAGCATGAGTAATTTATGGATTGCTCAATGGTCACTGACAAAAGCCACTGCGACGAATCAATATACCGCCGACCAACGGTCAAACTAATGGCTTTTGTCGATGATTCAATGCAATATGCTCCTAATCGATAATCTATATTTCATGTGCGCCCTGTTGGGATGAATTTTATTAATGCGTGTATAGAAAGAAGCCAAATCCAGTGCGCGTGACCGTTCAAAGCAGCGCACGTCAGCATTGACCACTGCCGACACGAAAATACACGAGTTATGTCTATACTCGGTGAGTTTTTGACGTATTTATTCCACAAAGACGGAAAGCTTTGTGAAACCATCGTTACTATATGACATATGCCAACATCAATTAATATAATTCCAAGTGACTCTTTCGGTTAACGAAAACTGCGAGTATTTTGCAACTATACCTCTTGCAATGATTTTGTCATAATTATAGTAATTCAGCTGTTTACCACCAAAATATGTTACAACATTTTTTTCAAGTTTCTGTGGCCCTTTTTGGCAATACCAAATTACTAAATTATTATTTTATTACGCTATTATGCAATACTATCGTATCACAAAATGGCAAACAGGTGTTGTGTAGATGTGATTTAGAATCACAGATTATAAAACGTATCGCACATTATAAAATGGATCCATAATTTTTAATAAGTGACCGAGACTGGTGCAAAAGTAGCTCCGCTAACGAAATCCAGGATGATAGTTTTATAATGATACAGAATTATCAACCATCCAGGACATTTGCTTGTCACTCTGTAATGCTGACAGCAATGAGGAAGACCGGAGGGGGTCGACATCGATAATTATCCGCGTAATATCCGCTAAGCCCATCTTCAACCAAAACTTCCTTCACGGCTTTCCTAACGACTTTCTGGACAATAGTGTGCTTGTTAGGCTCAATGGTCGGCTTGATAAATCCGAATTCATCGTCAGTGTTATCATCCGACATGTGAATGTCGTCGCCACTTTGTTTCCGCCATAGAAGAAATTTATATAAACTCCGCTCCATAATAGCTAATGAATCTGTAACAATTGACCGAACCGGGCTTCATTAGCTGCGACTATTCTGTCTGATAACTCTTGAGAAACAACAGCTGTTTTGTTTATTGTTCCTTTTTACTGTGCCGATAAACAATGCTGCGGCGACAAGGCGTTCCCATTAAAAATATTTGGCGCCAGAGCAGCTCATAATTATTAAGTTTGTCAATATATAGCAAAACTACTTGCCAAATTATATTTTTTATTGATAAACTGCAAAAATGCTTAATTTTACCAAATGCTAATTTTACCCGATGTGCTGGTTTTGGTAGTAGGAAGGATACGTATTATATCGCGCAATGGGCATCATCGGCAGCAAATTAAAATTTCAGACTGGCAACTTCAGGTATAAGTACGCGTATACGTACACCACATTATTATGTAAAAAAAAGAAATTTGCGAACAGATAGCC